GATAGGCTTTCACCCCCTCCCTTTGCTGGACAAACAGACAAGAAATCTTAACGCATGAATGTAACAAACACACTGAGAAAAAATAAATATTTAAAGTAAAATAATGTACTGATCACATTTGCAGACATACCCACTAAGTGACTCATGAGTTATAGTCTAGAGGTTCATGTGCTTTGTTCTCTGATCACTTGATCTGTAGAGAAACAATGTATCTTTATTATCAAGGCTGGTTATTGACTTCATCAGGGAGATGAATGCAGTAATATTCTTTCACTGACTTGTGCTAAATGACGGCTTCACCTCCGTCCCTCTCCAGCTGTCGGAGGTCACCGTGGGTCACCACACAGTTGCCATGGGAACGGGAAACAAGAAGGAAATTTCTCCTGAGCACCAAACAGTGACACCTTACTTCGTCTCCGACAGACTCGGTTGAGTTGCACATCAAGTGTGAAAGCAGGAGTGAGAAGTTGTTGTTTATTTAATTTTCTTACGAGTCACAAGAGTGGCCAGTCAACCCCACTCTTTTTCACACTCCCTCTTTTTCTTTCTCTCTCCTATGTAGAAACCTATTTTCACACGTACCCTTGTGGATGTTTGCTCTCACATATTTTCTTTGTCTGCATCACTCCACTCCGTGGTTCTCTCACACAATATATTTTCCTGCTATCTGGAACAGCAAAGCACAGGTGCAACCCTGTCTGTGTGTGCGCAAGTGAGACGGTATTTGTTACTTCAGCTCTCCAACTGCTGTGACCCAGTGTAACTATTGCACCTACATTGTCAACCCTCTAACAGCTCAGTCAGCCTCTCGAGGTTCCCACACCTGTTTGCCTAACAAGCACACCAACATACTTTTTATATCAGGCCTCAGTCACAAATACTAATCCACTGACACCATTATGCTCCAATGCGTATGGCATGTGTGCGTAGAGGGGGTGGGGGTGGAGCTGATGGCATTGCTGCTGTATCAAACTGCTGGAAGCAAATTTCCTCTAAGGTGATTTGTTATAGTGACAGAGCAGGAAATATTTTTAGCCAGAGTGAAAGGACAAATAATCAAGCAGGAAAGACAAATGGTAGACAACAAGGGAAGTGAGGGAAGGAGAAAGCGAGAAAGCAAAGGAAGAAAGAGTGGGTAAGTGAGAGAGAGAGAGAGAGAGAGAGAGAGAGAGAGAGAGAGAGAGAGAGCAATGGGGGAGTGAAATCTGAGGGTAAACCAAAACCACCTGGATGTTGCTGACTTGCTACTCTTGTGTTTAGAGCAGTCTATCTACATTGCATTACACATGCACACTCGCATAACCACACATACCTCATGGTCATATGCACACACACACGTGTGCACGCACACACACATATGGATCTAAATATGTGCAATTGCTTCTAAAAAAGTTAAAAATCCTTCTTACTTATGAAAACTCAAGTCATGTATGTTGTAATAAACGTACAGCAAAATGAACCACCAGTTAATGTAATCTTTTCTGCTGTTTAATATACAGTTTTAGTTAATTAAGTGACTGCTTTTGATTTCTTGTGTTTATTTATACTTTGATGAAAATGTGTCTAACCACCTGATCGTCTGATCATCTGACTTGCAATTTATACGACTGTAATGCCAGATTGCCCAGATGGTTAACTAATGAAATAAAAGCTAAATGTAGGAATAAAAAGTCCAAGTCGAAGCAAATTTTCCTTGAAGTTGTGAATAAAGCATAGTGGAAACTTCTCGTAGCATTTACTCAGCAGACAAAACCAGGAGTGATATAATACAACTAAAGGGACAGAGACTAAAACTTCTTCTTTTTTACTTCTCCTTTTTTTCTCAATGGAATTCTTACAAGTGTAAGACTTTGGTTTTATGGGTTCTGCTATCACGGCAGTCAGGAGCCTTGGCCTTAACCTCAAAGCGGTTGGTAAAACAATTTATAGTGAGAAGAGCGGTGGTCGGGACAATCTGGTTTGCATACACAAGTCGAGAGGCCGTTATGTAGCACAATGTCCTCCTCTCTGTCTCTGTCTCTCTTACACACACGAACATACACACACACACACACATAGCCTACACACTTTCTCTCTCTCTCTCTCACTGGTTTGTTCCCTGAGTCAGCACTCTGCCTCAGCTCCAGTTTCTCTATCCCGGCCCTCCTCTGCCCGCCTGCCTGCAGGACACTATTAGGACATCATTGTGTGCATTTGTGAGTGTCTATGTGAGCCCATGCTTGTGTGTGTATAAAAGAATGGGTGTGCGTGCCTTTGAGGGAGAGAGCTACTGTTGCATTTACGTGGTCAGGTCCTTTCAGCATCTTATGCAATACGATATTTTTCACTTTGCGAGTAACCCTGGATATTTTTGTCGGCTCTACCGAATCAGCTATTATTGCAGCTCACCATAAAAGATGCACGTCTCCTCTCACTCTTCCAAAACACTCCCAATGGGTTTTGCATGTTGTAGTGTGAGTGTATCTATTTCTGTGTGTGTGTGTGTGTGTGTGTGTGTGTGTGTGTGTGTGTATGAGAGAAAGAGAGAGATTCTGTATACTACTAGTTCTGCTAACATGGCCCAAAAATAGCGAACTGGAGAGGTGTGAAGTAAAAAAGGAAAGGACACTTTAGTAGAGGAGTAACTGACACGGGGTGAGTCACTTTCTCTCACACACACACACACACACACACACGCAAACATGGGGTGTGCTCATGCAAACTATAGACTTACAAGCACACACATGTATACAGTACCCAAAACTGTAGCATGTCACAAAAACGCAGAGTTGTGAAATTGTCTCACTATGGCTTTGTCACCACTGAGTGTGTAGTCAAGACTCGCAAGATTGTGTCTCACTGCCATGTGATTGGCTGCTTCACTGTTGGTTTGATTCCAAATTACTGTAAAAGATTCCCCCATTACTGGTTTAAGGTACTGCCTCACTTATAAAAACCTCCTTTTTTTCTTAATGGCTTAGCCTTTTGTAATCCTTTGCAGTTTCTCCACAGAGATCTGTGGGCCCGCTTACAATCAAAGACTGTTATATGGCAAAGTGCTAAATCGATTTGCCTGATTTAAGGGTAGATGGGTCAGATTTCACCCAGAAACCTACTCCCTTGCTATTATGGGCTTCTCGAGGTATATTTGACTTTGTGACAGCCTCTGATCAGTGTATTGGCATTTGTGCTTGTCTGTTTACGCTCTAGGAAGTTAATCCCTTTAACACATTGTGAAACGCCCTACATCACATTGACTGCACTTTACACGTAACACCACCACACCTCACAAATTAGTCATTTGTTTATTAATGCACTTGAACACTTTAACACTACAAATTCAATGTGGTTACATTATTTTCTGTGCTCTTAAAGTGATTTGTCATTACTGTCGTTCTGAGTCAGCATTTTTGTCAATGAACTGATGTTTTAACAGAGCATATATTCAAGTTCAAGCCAAAATGGAGTTGTTGGCTTTTTCCGTAACCTTCATTTTTGAATGTTGACTCAGTGATAAGACTAGTGTTTTTTCCCAGTTCTATTTACACCAGTGCTTAAAGGATGTTGTATTGTAAATGCAGAAGTGAGACTGGGAGAGAGAGAGAAGGAGAGAGGAAACGATACTAAGACGTTTTACTGACACAGTGCCTAATGATCACAAGAGCGAAAGATACATGCACGATTATGAGCACACAGACACACACAAGCCATGTGATCTCTCGATTAGTGCTGTAGTCACACCCTCCCACTCTCTCTGGTTGTTTGATCACAATCTCCCTCCTACTCCTGGGCTCCAGTCAAACAGAAACTTTCAAGAGATAATGCTTGCTCGACATGAAATCACTGATGACCTTTGCTGAAATAACTTAGATATTCAATTTTTATGTTCAGTGGAGATGTTCAGCTGACAGAACAAAAATAAATCGCTTCGAGCATATGTAGACATTTTTACGTCAGTTGATATTCAAAGGTTGCGTTTGATGGTATTCAAAACCTAAAGGTGAAGGATATAGCCTAGAATTTTATCTACGGAGGTTATAACACTGTGATGTAGCTGTAATTTTGTGGGGGTGAGATGGTTTATCTTATCTTTGCCTAAAATTTCTTCTTGAAACATGTTGATAGTTTTAAAGATGGCTGCACTTTTCTAAAGGCCCTTTACAGAGCTGAATGTTAGTCATTCACCATTTTGAAGGGAGATCGTTTTGCCTGTCGGATACCCAGCCTCTCTGTGCTGTTCTGCTTTTTTTGTTTTAAGAGGTCATCATATGATCAGCAGGAAAGAGTGATTGGTGGTGTGGTTAACAAAAATGCAATGTATTCAGTATATCCACAAATTAAGTTATTATTTTCGAGAAAAACTTTTAGATATCTAACTTTTAGGTGTATGAGCTTCTCTGCAGCTGTTATAGTGCCTCTGGGAAGCAATCATAAGATCATAATCAACAATGATTATTCATCATTTTCGATGGCCAGGGTCATTATAGACGTGACAGAAGAAAAGACAATAACACAAACAGAACACAGTCTGTAATCTAAACAGAAACTATGCATTATTGATCAATCAGGGAAGCTTGTGATCACAAATAAGTGAGTCTTGAGCTCTCAGTTTACTTTCACTGTTAAATAAAAGCATGCAGATCATACATTAGAACTCTTAAGTTGTATTTAATCATTCAGCGCAGTCAAGAGTTAACAGAAATTAACCTCATAACAAGAAGCTTTCCACCAGAATGTCAGTCAACACAAACCTATGCTCCCAAACCTTGTTTAGTTGTCCTTAGAGTGCAAAATGTAATTTAATGATTAAAGAAAAGAGTTGGAACGGCAATTGTTTTAACTACCTTAAAGTTTCTATAGGGAAATGTTTAGTTATTAGTTCTGTTTGAACCAAAGATCTCATGATTTTACTGGCATTCAATTGATGGGAAACTGCTGATGTTGATCCTACACAGCTGTCACATTGTGTTAAAGAAACCACCCTTCAAGGACTTATGCCAAGTCATATGTTATGGGAAGTGGAGCACACAGTACAGTAAAGAAAAGCATATGACTTATTGCTACATTACACAGGACATTCCCATACCTCAGTGATTTTGCAATAAGACGTGTGAGTGGTCTTTTGTGGTTTCACGCTTGAAAGAAAAGCACATGATGGCACTGCACGCAGATCATGAACAAGTGATTACGCTAAAAAGAGAACTGACTTGTTATGACTATGACGAAACTCTCAGTGTGTCAGATCTGGACAGCTGGTATTACACTTCATCTGTCACAGCATGTCAATACTTAGTGATTATGTTTAGCTGTCTCACCTACAAGTACTGTGTGCCCAGCAAGCACACCTTTTCTATTGTCCACGCTGACTGTGATTGGCTGATGGGCTAAGAGGCTGAGGTGTTGCAGCAAATAGCACAGCTTGTGGGCCGGTCCATTCTGCAGCTCGAGGGAGGTTAATGAGTGAAGCCACTGGGCTATCAGCCAAACATGAGCAGCAACGCTAAGGCTCCCACAATGAGCCTGACTGTATTACCACTGAGCTCTGTCTAATTATACACTCCCAGCGAGGGAGAGAGTGACAGAGAGCATGTTAGGCAGGGGAAAGAAAAAGTTATTAAATGTTGCTGTGTGTCAGAGAGACTTACTGAGGGGATGACTGTAGACTGAAGTTATAACAGTGAGATATATACAAGGTGTGTGCTAGCAAGGAGATAGAAAGAGAGAAGGAGAGAGAGAGGGAAGGAGGGGGTTGGAGAGATCAAGCAAGAGAGAGACAGAGAGCACACTCACTCAGAGAGAGAGAGAGAGAGCAAAGAGGCGTTTAGAAAGTGAGAAGGAGGAGAGGCAGGAATAGGATGAAGGGAGGGAAGGCTGAGCAGTAGAGAGGAGGAAGAGACTCGCAGTGTCAAAACTGGATATTCCTACGTGCCTGCTGCCGCCTGATCCAATGAGTAAACTCTCTGATACCTGCTACGCAAAGGCACCCGGCAAGGTATGTGACCACACTGCTTCCTCCTCTGAGTGCGCGCGTGTGTGTATGAGAGAGAGAGCACAGGTGTGTTGGCAACTTCGAGTGACAGGATAAACAGACTGGGCTGTGTGATTCCATTGCCCCGAAAAAACTGGTTCATGAGTTACTGTAGGTGCATGTATTCTGAGAGTAAGCTAATCTGATTATAGCTAGAAAATGTGTTTCAATTGTTTGTGTGTGCGTGCATGTGAATGAGCATGTTGTACAGACTCATGTAAGTCAGCACCTATGTGTGTGGGTGTTTGTGTGCGTGGAAGAGAATAACAGAGAGCGTGTGAACAAGAGGGAGAGTGTGACTGATCCAGAGAGGAGTGTGTGAGAAAGATGGAGTCAGACAGAGTGAGAGAGGTGGAGGTTCATCACTCAGCCTCAGACGGCAGATCAGGGCTTTCAGAATTAGAGCAGTGGGCTTAAATAGCCTTGGTCCAGAGATAGCAAGGGGGCCCTCGAGGAGCCCACTTAAATTGGGAGGGATGGGTATAATATTGGTGAGGGTGGGGTTAGCCCATGTGGGGGAAAATTTAGAAAGGGAATGATGGAGGAGGAGTAGAGGGGGGAAAAGATTTGCAGATGTTGGGGACAAGTCTAGGAAAGAGCTCATGCAATCAAAGGCAGGTGCATTAGGCATCTGTGATCTAAGTTCCTATTCAAGCAGTGTAAGAGATGCTTTATAATTATTCACTGGAAGAACTTATAAAGTCCCTTTTATTATTTTTTTTAATTAACTTCAAAAGTCTACTTAGTTAAAGACTTCGATTTTTTCTGTTTCTGTGTTTTCCTCCTGAAAGCACAGAACATGTGAGCCAGTTTGTAGTTCCATTATTGACTGCTCCCTCCTCATTTCTTTCCCATTCGAGATAGAGATAGAGGGAGACTCATACTCCACCAGTGTGCACAGTTATCATTTCTGTGTATCTATTTCTGCTACATCAAGCACTGTCCTTCTGTTGTGGTGACATCCCATATGCTGCATAAAGGAACATTTCACAGGTTCAAACAATTCTCAGCTACAGATGTGATTGAAGGGAAGCATATAACATTTGTCCCCATCGACTTAATTTACTTACTTCAATTATGAGGGTGATTTGCTGGAGTGTACAGGAAGTCTTATGTCTCAGTGTGATTGCTTTGAGAGATGCTTGTTTCTGAAAGGAACGTGAGTTTCATCTACAAGGTGCAATCGCTGCTTTGAATTTGTCATTTGCAATTTGAAGCAGGGATCCTCTGGTGTATCAGTGCAGGTTCATGCCAGAGCAGGGCTCTAGTTGTAAATGGGTGTTTTCAAAACCCAGATCTCCCGTGTTTATTTTGTGTTATAGCAACTTTACAAGTCAAAGCCTACGGCTCTATGATATACTCCAGTGTACAGAGATGTGCCCTTATGAATGATGTAAAGGCAAACTGAATGTAGCGATGGTTCTATATATATTTTGGGAAAGAGAAATACAACTTTTCTCTGTGGGCTGAATTAGAAATACAGCATGTTCTCCCATGCCATGTTTCTTAGAGTACTGTCACCATGCAGAGGAGAACAGGCCTCTTGTGGGAGAAGGTTGAGTGGCTGCTGGCCCTTTAAGAGGTCTATTTTTACAGGGGCACACTCATGCATGGAGCGAGGCGCACAGACGAGGCAGTGGCACACGGAGACTGTATCTGTGCTGCCTCACTTCTGTGACTCCAAACAGCACATCCTGCAGGACCATAACCTTGTGACTGAGTGACTGTGAGAGAGTCATAAAACTTGTGCAGTCCACAGAGGAGCGCGTGTTCTTTTAACACAAGCTCAAACACGAAAATCATCAAAACTGGAAGTTACAAGGTTTTCACCCAACAGGGAGACTCAACCCTTTTTTTTCCTCCAAGTGGATCTCTCTGAAGTCTAAAAGTGATAATGAGTGGGAGCTTGCAATAAAGACACCCTTATGCACACTGTACACAAATGTGCCAACATTCCCACATACTTGTTTTGATATGCAGATAGCTATGAAAGAAATCTGAAAACATTCATGCCCCCTTCTTACAAACACATAATACACTTTAGTTTACTTAACACCCACACACTCCTCGAAAGAAACCACAAAAGTGAGTACATTTCAGAACATTTCAACACAAACGCACATCCGTGCACTTAGAGGTGCGCATAGTGCTATACACCCACGTAAAAAAGAAAAAAAAGAAAAAAATTACTTATACATCCTCAATATCTGGACCCAAAATAATCTTCTCCTTATGCAATCTGCATGTTATATAATGCATGGCCTGTCATTATCACAGCGCTCCTTCACGCCCTGCTGTGCCTCTCCACCTACAGCACCACGCAGACAGGCAGACACACACACACACACACCCTGCACCTTGTGTTAACAGTCATATACTCTACTCTAGCACTCCCACCCACGTTGAGTGTATGCTCTCAAACAGCTACCCAGATGAGTGAGAGGGAAAGACGGAGAGGAAGACATAGAGTGGGTGGGGTAAGGAGACTGAAAGTGAAAGGCACAAAAAGGGAAAACTTACAGAATGAAGTGTAAATTCATGCAGAGACATGATTAAAGAAATCATATGTTGCTCATATATACGAGTCACTTTTAAGGCTGAATTTAAAAGGGGAAAATTCTGTCTTGAACACTGAAGCGCATCGTGGATGCAGTATTTTAGCAAGTGTCTGAGTTTACCTAACTCCACGTAACCTCATTTATGCGTTCATTTTCTTTTCAATTTTGTTTAACAAGTTTATTTTCAGGAACTTAGAAGGCAAGAAAGCATTCAGGCACGATGTGTGAGGAATAATCACTCTCATTGTCACTCCAAGTCACACCTATTGGCATACAAAAGCTTGCGTGTCTTTGCCAGTCTTGCATGTCCTCTCAAGGAATGGACAGGGAGTCACCTTAGTGCTGTCCTACTATAAACTCATACAGCGTCTAATTTAGGAGGCATAGTGAAAAGAGAAGCTGCGACATTAGGTAATTATTCTGTGAACTTTATTTCATTATGAAGTAGTTCTTCATTTGTGCCATTTTTAGTCAGTCAAAGGGACTTGCATGTCTGCTGTTCCAAGATCAGCACTCCCACAATTGGAATGGTATGAGAATTGGCTTGGGAGCTCAGCAGAGGAGCCAGGAGTGTGTGATGAATAATCCCAAACACAGGCAAGTGTTTGAATACAGTTGACACTGTGCCAGACTGCTTTAAGGTGACAGCACACCTGTTGATCAGTGTGTCCTAAGAGATGAAGGTGCAGGGAGTGGCATTTCATCGATGAATCTCCATTTGAATCTGCTTATTTTTTATGTTAACTGAAGATATGTATATGCTTATAAACCAGTGTATGTGTGTGGTCAAAAGCAAACTTACATATTTAATCTGCCGGTTATCCAAGTCTGTTCTTGCTCTTTGTATATATACAGATCGTTTTCCTTGGCCTTGACATGCTAACCCTTGTGTATGATCAAGCAGTATGTTCTCCTACTCCTCCACACTTCATCTACAATAGGGGTCAGTGACCTTTCAACCGGGCCACCCACCACTAACACCCACAGTTTTTTAGCCAAGCCTGCCGTTCTGCCTGCTGAAGCCCGTGCAAGTAAAATTGCTCCCTCAGACAGACCCGGTGTGCACAAACAATAGAATGCACAGTATTGGTTTTGGTGTCACTGTACTGAAGGTGTAACATCTGATACATCCTGTATCAATAGTGACCTTAAACCCTATCCGAAAGTGGGATGTATATTACCTTTTCTATCCGAGCACTCTTCCTACTCATTTCGTCTCTTTTTCCCCCCCTTTGGTCTTGGAGAATATTAAAATAACTCATCAAAGCATCTTTCACTAATTTAATTTATCTTCTTTTTATGAGCAGACATCATCAAATTGATGGGTGATAAAGGTTCTCTCTCAAGTGGATTTGGGACTTTCCTTGTATTCATTTTGAAACGAAGCATTAAGCCCACTCAATCATATTTCGATATAATTTGCAGCACCCTCTATAACAAACTGAATAAGCATGTGTTGAGTAAATGACTGTGACCGTGTGTGGCTGGTTGGCAGATTTGGTGTGGGAGGGGTTGTACAGCAATAGCAATAATGGCAGTGTATAGCAATGTTGCCTTGAATACCAGCAGTGATAAAGGTACTCTAGACAGTATATGTGAAGCCAGTCTAGACAGTCTCTCTGAAAATGAATGGCACTTAAGCTACCAACAGGAGACCTGGCCATGCTCTCTCCATGGAGATGTCATCACTATGTTTGCTTACAGCTTGCTGACATTTTTGCTGCTAAACCAGACAACCAACAGAAACCCAGTTTGAGTGGCAGTCGCCAGGGGACAATGCCAAAAACAACAAAACTTTGGAATGAAAAGTAATCCCCCTCCTCTTCAGCCACACACACGCACACACACAGACACTTGTCCTCTCCCTTTCAAGCTCTTTTCACCCCATCAGACTTCATCACCCTCCCTTTGGCTTTCCCCTATTCTCCCGCCTCCACCCCACTCGTAAGCTGATGATTTCATAGCATGAGAGTACGGCTTGGATGAAGGGCTCTGAGTCGGGTTAATCATGTCACTAATTCACAAATTCCAAAACTCTGACTGTTCTACCTGTGAGAGAATGTACATAAGAAGTTGGAGATCTAAGTTAAAAGAAAAAGGAGCCTGTGAGGCCCATGATGGAAAATACCAAAGCATGACTGTGCATCTGCAATGCGTGACATCACTGCTATTGCATAAGAATTGTTTTCATCTGACAAACACTAGTCAGTTGGTGTTTGTTTTGTGTGTTTTTATATCTTTGTGAACTATTTGATGCCTAGAAATTGAAACCAAACTAAGTACTTGGTGGTTGAAAGCATATGTGGTGTAGATGCTACATTATAGGCAAATGATCACACTGAGACAATGGAAAAATGCAAAAATGAAACTTCCATCAGCAGACGCTTTAAATGTCAATGAATGACAATTGCATGACACCCGCCCCAGAGAATGTCAGCCACAAGATTTGCAGAATACCTGTCAAGTTGTTTCGCGCTGACCCATGTGTGAACACTTGTATGTGAAGTGCACACTGAAGTATTTACAGAAGTAAAGAGAGACAGACAGCAGCAGGCCACCACGGTCAAAGAAAGAGGAGCATGAGGTGGAGAATTTTTTGCTTCTGCTGACTGGCTGACCTGCATGTAATTAGTCAAGTCATATTTTTAACTGATATTGCGTAAAAGCCAGCTTAAGGAGCAATAGCTGCCCTATTTATACCCTAGGGGCTAATGGCCTGTACCACTACATAGGGGGATTTCCTCCCAGAACTATACTAAGCCTGCCTTAGGCCGTACCAGTTAGGATTCACAGGGATTAACTCAGCAATACATTACAGACTTCACATTGTAGTCTGCCATACTCTCCTCCTATTAACTCTGCTCTTGCAATCTTCAGCAGTTATATTTTCAGTTGTCATGTTTAGGAGTTTATATGTGATGTTTATTTTTGCTGGACTGTTGATCTTATTCATACTAAAAAAAAATAGCAATATATTTATTACTTTATGCAGCTATGAGGTGTACACAGCTGTCATAAGTGAACAAAGAATCAGTCTTATGACTCTTTGCATGCACGTTTTTGTGTACATGGAGCCTGCCGTGTGTGTGTGTGTGTGTGTGTGTGTCTGTGTTTGTGTGTGTAGGGGTGTTAATAGTAACTCCTGAGCCATAATCTGATCTTCATTATGATGAACCTGCTGCGGGCAGGGCTGCTGGCTCATCCTGCTGAAGAATGGGTCAGTGCCCTGAAGGCTGACCTGGCGTTTTGCCCAACAAGCCCGTATCACCGTGTCCTTTTATCAGCTTAGCCTGGCTTTTTGTAGAGTAATCTGCTGCACAAAGCTAGTAGTACTCCCCCCCCACAACCCACCCCTCCCATCCCACACCTCAACCTTACTCTACCACCACAGCTCATCCTAATAAATGAGAAAATTATAACGAATGAGAATGTTTGCTAACTGGTCTACAAATTAATCAAGACGCTTGACCCCTACAGCAAAGGGGATCCAGTGGATCAGTTGCGATGTGATGGTGCGGTTTTAACCCATTAAAAACCATCCCATTGCCTGTCCAGTGCTTGACTTAAAGGGAATTGTGGGTGCAAATCAAAACAAAGTTTATATAAATATAAAGTCTCTCTCTCTCTCTCTCTCTCTCGCTCTCTCTCTCTCTCTCTCTCTTCCTCTCCCCCCCACATCTTCTTCTCTTGTCTCCTCTTCTCTTCCCTTTGTTCTGATCTGTTACATTCAGCAACAAATTTCTGCTGCATCAGACGTCCATCATAGATCTTCTACCCAGCCTGAAACGTGATCGGATACTTAATACAAGGCTACACATGAGGATGAGGGAGAGGTGGGGGTTGGTTGGGGGTGGGGAACCCCCACACTAAATGTCATTTTCTTAAAAAAATGTAAAAAAAAGTAAAATGTCCCATGCTCTCTAAATCCTCAACTGTAGAGGTCTTTAACCCCTCATGGTACTTTACACTCCTGCTACGATTTGTTGGATGTAGTCTGACTCATCTGACCTTTCTCATCTTGGCCTGACCCCGTGTGTGTGTGTGTGTGTGTGTGTGTGTGTAGGTGTGTGTGTGTGAGATGGACAGATTAAATAGTGCAAAGCTAGAGAGTGAGACAAGCAGAAACAGAAGAGACTGAGGAAGAGTACACCAAACGCCTTAGTGCTATCATAGTACCATAAATGATTAACACGCAGTGTGTGTTTGTTGTGTTAATATTTGTATATATACGTTTGAATTTGCTTGTATTTCAAAGCGTGCTACATAAGTAGAAGACAACAGTCATTTCTATACCTCTGTCATAGTAAATACCCAGTGATGAACCCAGTCCTATTTCTTTCTCTTTCACTATGACTGGGCTATTACGTGTAAATGTCTGTCAAATACTGAATAGTGTTTCATATAAAAGCTGACTGTGTTCATATGATTTTATTTACACCTGAAAATTTAAATTATTTCCTTCTTTTTTTTTCCAATATGAAAGTATTGCATCTGCTAACTGACCTGGCTTTGTTGATTTTAGTTTAAAATCTTTTATTTAAGCGGCAAGTTATCTTGCATAATCATCCAATTTATTGAAATAAAAAATAAAAAAATATATGAAATAAAGGTACAGTAAATCAGCCATTGTTTCAGAAATTGGTTGCTTTTGTGTATTTTTCAAAGTTGAAATTTTCAAAACTATTCGTTCAGCCTCCACATCTCGTCTCGTCACATCAGAAAGGCAATTTGTCACTCTTTTAACTGATTAGAAGGGCCTTGGCACACCCTTGTAAATCATTATTTACAACTGCCTGCTGCTTGCTATCTTGTCAGTCACTTACATATGTCACTTATATGTAATATGGTATGTGTAATTATTAGCAACCTATAGTAGTATTAGTAAAGTATAATGAATAAGTCTTAATATGCAAAATAATTGAACCAGTTTTCAAAATCTGTGAGACTTATTTTCCGTACATTTATTTTTTCTTTTCCGTTTTTTTTATTATGTCTTTGCTACACATACAAGAAATACCACACTCTTCTACGGTACTGACTGGCACAAAGGAAATATATATTTAAAAAATGTAAAAATAAGTGGAAATGTTCGTGCAGTGCTTTATGGTAAATTACAGAGCGATTTTTATACGCCTTCTGTCATTTCTGTCTGTCGGGCTACAGCCTCTCATCCAAATCACAACAGATACGTCCCCTTGCAATGCATTGCTGAAAAAAACCAAATCTTTTGGAATGTGTTATCCTACCTCTGCAGGCATCTGCCACGATGGTTTTTTTTTTCTTCTTCTTTGTGATATGCAGTGCCATAAAACCGTTTCATCTTTTTTCTTTTCTTTCTTTTCTTTCTTTTCTATTGCAATGATTGGCCAACAAGTTACAGTGCAAGCGGTAAAGGCGTAAGTGCGAATCCATTCCAGTCAATCTCCCACATACAGTAATGTGTAACTTTGCACTGTTGAAAGTGATACACCATAGAAAAAAAGTGCATATTTAATTATTGCTCTAGATCAGAAAAAAATGCAAATGCACAGCTACATTTAAGTTTCTTTTTTGTAAACAGCGACACAGGGACTTGTGATTCAGATTTTATGTCCATGTCCATCACCATAAATATAGTTTTGCAAGATAAACTATGGATTTTGAGTATTTCTTCATAGCTCTTGTTATAATTACTGCTCCCGCTGTCATAAAAATGGGTTGGAAAGAAATGCAAGACAAGTGAGAAACAATTATAAAATAAACATAATGTAATACAGCTTTTTTTAACAACTGCAAATTATGTTCTGTTTGTGAACTACCTTTGTTCCTACTATACTTGGTATATTTTATCTTTATTCATTATGGCCTAGTGGAGCAGTCTACCTAATAAAAAAAAAATCTAATTACCTTCAACATATTTTTTTCAATTTTATTTTTAATGTAAAATTTAGTTTCATTTAAAGTCCTAATATATGCCGTGTTGTTCTTAATCTGCACCGCCTCATGAATTTACCTACAGTCTCTTGTGATATGATTGTGATACTCAAATAACCCACATAAATTTAACAATTGCTTTAGCAGACAGCACTCATGCCCACACAACCTCGATGCACATCATTTTCACTTTGAAAAAAAAATACAAGTAATGTTTTCTAAATGTCAGAGGAGATGCACTTGGCAGTTGTCGCCTGACTCTGAGATTGTTTTAATGTGGCCTTTAGGCTGATTTTTGAACACACACCTACTTGTCTGATTAGCTTTCCATTTCTTTGAAGATGAGAAGTTAGACAAGATTAACTTCTGATGTGCTGTTGGTGGGTACAAATGGTTTGCTTATAGAACTGTAAAGGAACAGAAAGATTTCTTTTTTTCACTTAACCGTGAATAATGATTTGATTGCTTCATTAAATCCTTTTTTCTCTTGTGCTCCACTTTATGTTCTTGTTTCTGAATCGCAATTTTGTGCTGATAATTAACATAAGCTTGTTTGAGATGAGGTTTGGCCCTGTTTCTTTGACGAGAATCAGACAGGGTTATTTGCATAGTATTGCGTTTTCAGTGCAGGGCCTGTTTATTATTTTTCAGAAGGCTTTATCACTGACAGGTTTTTGATTTCTCGCTGTGAATGAAATACACTGCTCGCGCCGATACAGTCCTAATAAGCCATACCCGCTATACCAACACACTTCACTTGTATCGACTGAATCACTGAAGCAAATCATTCAGAGCTCTCCTGCAGTGCTCCTGTTAGCGTACGAGCTTGAGTATGAGTGTGTGTCTGTGAGTGTGTGTGTGTGTGTGTGTGTGTGTGTGTGTGCATACATATGAAGTCAAATCAAATGTATTCATAAAAGCTCTTTGAACAAGCAGGTTCGCCATAAAGTGCTTTGATGAGAACAAAGGACACAAATTCAGATGAAACTACAGATAAACAAAAAAGAGCAAGTATTGTGTGTCTGTGTGTGTGTATTTGTGTGTGTGCGCGCTTGATGGATGTGAGGTTTAGTTTTGAGTCAGAGGCAGCAGCAAAAGCCTAAGTCTGAGAGTGTGTGTAGGATGAGCCTCCTACCACGTCCCTCCCTGTCTCTCAACAGTCTCTGCCTCCCCTTTATCCCTCCCTTACTTTAATGTGGCAGTATGTCTTCTGAAATATGTTCACACGTATAGATGAATGATTTTCATTACTGATTTATTTTATTTTATTTTATGTATTTAAGATTGGGTGTACAGTATATAATCTATATGGGCTGCATCCTCGATTGTGTGTGCATATATATATTTATATAAGTGTACACACACATATATATAAATATAAATATGTATACAATGTATACATATATGTGTATGCGTGTGTGTGTATATAAGTGTATGCATGTTTGTATCCCTCACAGTGATTAAAGCAAGTGGGCGGCAGCAGCAACTGGTCTGCCTGTGTGGCTCAGCATAGCAGACATGTTTCTCACTGCTAGATATTACTCATTTCCTCAGCCCTTTGCACACACAAGCATATACACACTCACTTGACACACACGTACTCATATACACAACAGACACAGACGGATAGCAGGCTCTCAGTTTTTTCCCTCAGTTTGGTGGGCTCGCTGGTGCTATTTCATGCGTACAGAGATCAGAGGCAGTGTGTAGCTGGAAGCTGCTGATATCTGCGGGTGTTGTAACTGGCTGTAGTGCTTTGGAGAAGCAGTGTAGCACAGTAAGGAGCTGAGGAGTGGGTTGACCCTCTGGGAGGACTACAATATGAATGACTGCCAACTCCGGGATGTCTGCTTAGCCTGCTGTAAGGTCAGTGTGACATCAAGTCACAACAACTTGCAACTCCATCAACTTGTCTGTCTTCTCCTTGGATAAGAGCACCTATTACATGTGTTTTTGTTGCAGTTAGAATGATGGAACTATTGTTTGATGTTTCTTTATTTAAAAAAAAAAAAAATAGGCGAAATATCAAAGTAGGCAAAATTAGCAACCAAAATTTAGCAGTTCTGTTTTTCTGATGTTGGACATTACTCCTGAGTAATGTGTGAAGAGAAAAGGCGGGACGAGGAAGAGCACTGCAAATGTACATGTCAAATTTTGAAGTTGTTCAGAAGTTGAAAATGTAAGCATTTTGCATTTCAATGTAATAAAAAGAACATTTATGGATTATTTTATAAGTTGTAGTGAAAATGAGACACACTTGCATTTATTAATTGCATATATTGTTACAAAGCCATGCAAAAAACTGAGGAATCCCTAATTGGAAGGAACATGTAACATCATTATGGCTTTGATCGGACGCTTTTGATATATTTAAATGTTACAACAACAGTAGCTCCAGCTAAATTCCAACTCTCTGTGTGCATGTCTGCACAGTGTAGGAGTATTCTGTTAGAACCTGACATTTCTCTGCAAACTCCTCCACATGTACAATTGTGTTCTTTGTTTTCTTGTACTTTTTTTTGGCAAGTTTATATTCGGTCTATTTTGACAACCTTTTTCATAATGACTGTCAAGATGGCGAGAGTATAAGAGTCATATGAGGACAAAAGCTGAAGCCAATTTTTTTTTTTTTATTATTTAAGACATCTGGATTCTAGACAAGTGCTTGTTTAATGAAATTCTGCTATAGAAAAAAAAACATAAGAAAGCCTTTGAATACTTTGTTGATTTTGATGTTTGTTTTTAGGTTTATTTTATTGCTTTCTAAAAAGGCTTTTTTGGCATATTGAAGAAACCAATAAAACTTTAAGTCAATGAATTTAACAAATTATTGTGAACATAAATATTAACAGCTCAGATGAACGCACATTGAAAATGTCTGTAGATTACGTAACGTCTGATTAAGGCCCCATATCCAGAATATATCTTTTTTGAAACACAAGGCCTTTTTTTAGCCCCCAGCTTTCAGCATAACTTAAAAGAAGTCACTTAACATTGACCCTCATCATCTGCTTCATCTACTAACCTAATTATTGTGCATTATAAACATTTACGAATTTTCTTCACCTTTCTTGCCGGCATCCGGGACGAAAGAAAGCCCCTCCTCTCACTGTCCAGTTTTCAGTTTTCAACTCAGATGCACAAACAGCTTGCTCCACTCTAACACTTATTCTGTTTTTGGACCAAGTCACTTGATGAGCAACAGTGTTCCCGCCTCTCTATGGAGTATCCCTATCTAACCTCTCTAACCAGCTGGATGTGTGAGTGTGTGTGGATACAGTTGCCATGGTGACAGTGTGGCGGATGGTGAGACGGCAGGGAGTCGGTAGGCAGTTGAGACAGACTTGCGGGTGAGTGCGGGGCTGGTGCGGCGGGAACAACGATGGCGGTGGCGGCGGAGGGAACAGCTGGACTCGGAGCGTGGCAGCCATCATTTCAAAAGAGCTCATTTAAAGCATTTGGAGAAGAATTGAAGGAGCTCCCCCGCACTTCTCACTGAATGAAACAAGGCTGCAAAATCTCTGACACATTTGAGGACTCAAACACAAACACACACGCACACAAAGACCTAAACAAATAAACACATTCACATATTTTTCCAGGGAAAAAAGAAAAATAACACATGCACGCAAACAAACATCGCATACGTGCGTGCAGGGACGCAAACAGACGCGCATTTTTCCCCTGCATTCCCTGCTGTGACACATAATTAATATGCAAAGACATATACCCTGTATCCACAACAACTGGTGGTAATATCAACAGTGCTTCTGTCAGCTTTGGGTGGGTGGTGACCAGCTTTGCCTTTCACTGGGGGAGTAAGTACAGCTGCCTGAGGGGAGTATTTGTGTGTCTGTTGCTGTCCATGTGCTTGTCTCAGAGAGAAGGGTTGGAGGGGTGTTAGTAGTAAAGCTTATATAGAATAAAGAGAGCACCCGAGGGTGTCGAGGGGGTGGTTCATGAAAGTGGTACAAAAACGTATCTGCATATTCCAATCATCCCCTGAGAGTCAGAGATGAAAACTCTCCTGCTGTGAGTGCTCTACGTGTGTGTTTTTGCGCACTCATACACATACATACTGCACTGCCTCTGAACTTCACTGGCTGCAAAATGTATTTTTAGCCCACATGTGGGAGTAATGTGTTTGAATGAATCGAGTAAGTTGGGTGGTTTCAGTCCCACCGCACTGCAAAGGTAATGACTAATTAGCTACAGCAATCAGAAAAGCTTGGAGTTTCTAACCTCTTTAAAGTAGTTTGGAAGAGGGAGTCACCAACTGATTTCTCTCCATCTGCCTGATACAGCAGAATGTTTGTTTGTATGTCTGACCAGACTGACAGCTAAGTCTTAACTACAACTGATGCCAGGACCTAACAGACTGTTCCTCTTCAGTGTTCACACTTAATCTCTCTTACTTCTGTCTCGGTCCCCTCCCTCAAGTTTACCCACCTATCTCTGTTTTCTGTCCTCTTTTATCCTCTCTGTAGGTGAGTGGTGCTTCAGCACAAGAGAATCCACAGTGATCTGACAGTGATGCTGTGTGTCAGCTTTCCCCTCTGTCTGCACCCCTCTTTCTCCCGTGAGGCCCATGTGACCTAGCCTACACCCATAAACAGGGGGCCCCCACTGCCGCTGGAGCCCACCCATGAATCCCAGCCCTGACCGCGGCAAAGAGTGCCTCCCTCCGAAGAAGAGGGAGTCTCGCCAAGGATCAGCAGAACACCACATCCCCCTGGATGAGTTTAAACCCCCTGTACCTCTGCGGAGTCGGTCCAGTATAGGGAGAGGAGAAGCCAGTGAAAGGGACCGTGTCCAAGCAAATCCGAACCCGCATCTCCTACATACTCCTCCACCCCTTCCTGCTCCAATACCAGGCCTCCCTGTGCCCATACCATGGACCCTAAGCTATTCACCCACTGTTTCTCTTCCGCTCTTCACAGGGCAGGTCAGCGAAAGGAGGGGCTCAGGATCACCCGCTTGGAGAGATGATCCTCTTTCCTCATCCCTGCCCCATCACTCCAGGTGGCTCAGAGGGGAGGTTCCCCTTTCTCTGCCACCTTCTCCATCATCCTCCTCTACTTCATCCTTTAAGACTCCCTTCCCAGCCAGTCCCAGAGAGATGTGGTCCTATATTAACAGCGGTCGGCGGGACTATAGCTCCTCTCTCTTTTCCCCATCATACCTGTTTGGCCACCACCCTCTCTACTCCCAAGAACCAAGCTTAGTTGAAGTGAGACCCAGGTACTTGGGAAAGCGGCCCAATGGCCTGGATGGGTCAGGCAGCAGGACTGCCTCAGCCTCTAGGCCTCTGCTCACAGGAGACTATGGGAATGATAGCAGCAGAGCCCAGCTTGATATTAGTCCACACAGCTCCCATGCCAATGGTGGACGGCGACAGCAGGAGGATCTAACAACACGTATCCATTCTGGAGGGCCATTTTTGTCAGACTCTCAAGCTCAGGGGGCCGCTGAGCCACATTCCTCACTGCAGGATAGACATCTGCCTGGAATAGTTAAGACCAGCTCCAATTTGCTTTCTCTCAGTCCCCATCCTCTTGGACCAGACTCCAGGGCAAGTAGAGGGGGACTATTGGATCACCTAGGGGCCACACCAGCTGAAACCCAAATCATCTACTCCTTGGGATCGGCATGTCCCTCCAGCCCTCAGGCTCAAACCTATCCACTCTACAGCTCCTCAGGAACAAGTCTTTACAGCCTGCACAGGGAGCCAGGCCCCAGACAGCACAACTATAGGAACTCACCACACTCACCACTGGGTCTACCTAACAGCCATGACAGGCCACAAAGAGACCAGGACAGAGACCAAGAAAGAGACAAGGTCACACAAAGGGAGAGGGAGCGCAGTACAGATAAAGAAAAACAGAAGCAATCACAGTATGACAAAGACCAAGAAAGAGACAGTGAGCGTGAGAGACGACGGGACAGAGAAAGAGACAGAGGGAGAGATTTGTCTCCTTCCCATCATCACCCATCTCCCCCTGCACTCCTACCTCACTTCACCAAGGGTTCTTTGATTGAGCTAGCCAGCGGGCGACTGAAGCGGGTGGAGGAGCTGAGGACTGAGGACTTCCTGAGGAGTGCAGATAGCTCCCCAGAATTCCACCTCAGCACCTGCACCGTCCTGCAGATTTCCCCCAGTAGTACACAAGGCTTCAGTCACCTGCATGTCCATCTCACAGACCGCAACACTCAGGTCAGCTTTGCTTTGACATATGTTCTTACACACACACACACACACACACACACACACACACACACACACACACACACACACATTGATAGATATAAATCCTCAAGTAGATAGCCAAAATATTAAAGGACAAACTTAGTGATTATTCATAGTGTAGGTTGCTATTTCTTTGATATTCCCCGGTCAAAAGCTGCATTTTATAGGTTGGTTTATACATTTCGCTAAACACCAACGTGTCACTGTATTGATAATAAGTGCCAGACATGCACTGTCTTTTCTTTGAGTTTATAACAATGTTGTGGTTTTGTGTAGGAGTTACTGAAGGTCTTGGTGGAGTATCCGTTCTTTGTGCAAGACAGAGGCTGGTCTTCTTGCTGTCCCCAGAGAACCACACAGCTGTACAGCCTGCCCTGCCGCCAGCTCACAGAGGGTGATGTCTGCTTGGCCCTCACCCCCACCCCGACCCATCGGACACACACTCGTACCAGCTCCAGGACCCATCGCACACAACTACCCTCGAGGGCTGCAGCAGAATCCAGCAGTTCGCACAGGGAGGAGATGCCACCACCACCTCCTCCTCCCCCTCTGCCTCAACACCCACACCCAACCGTGCCGGCCCCTCCAAGCGCTCTGGCCCGAGAGCCCTTGGCTAAGGACCAGCAGCGCCCACGCAAACGGCGCTGGTCTGCCCCAGACACCCTTCCCTCAACCAGAACTGATGAAAGCCTCCTGGATTTACCTCATGGCTCCAAGCTAATGAAGTGGCAGTAGAACTCTGCACATGCATACTTACACATACACAGGCGCACATACACACCCTCCTTGTCTCTGTTGCACCAACCAAGACAAACAATGGAGAGACCTCAAGGCAGGGTTGCAGGGAAGGAAATTTAAAAAATACATATATATATATAAACAACAGAAAACACAGTTTGCAGGTGTCCATACTGCTGCCCAAATGATAGTCAACTCTATTAAGGCCCCTTCCTCCACCATTCTTTCCTTTCATTACCCTTTTTCCTTTCCTTTCCTTTCCTTTCTATCCCTCATATTTAACTTAGCACAGCCCTGAAAGGAGCAGCAGCTGAAGATTCTCTGGATGGCTGCTTACAAACACTGATGACATTTAGTGAGACAATCAAGCACTTGTGTGTTCACTCTGTTTTTGTAATGGTTGTTGTCCCCCACACCTACTTACCGAAAGTGTTTGCTGCAGGGTATTTTCAATCAGTGTTATGAAAGTTAATGCTACTGAAGAATTGCAGATATACATGAACAAAAATTGACTATATATATATTGCATTACAGGTGTTATATACAGTAAATATGCTAAACAGATTTAATGCAATCTCTCCGTCAATTTTGCAATGCATTTTTCTTTTCTTTTTCTTCTTCTTTTCTTGCTTCTGAGCCGATGCCTACGGGTCGGCCTGGGCAGGCAAGGTGAATGTACGAGCAACTCTTAGCCTTTTTTTATTCTCATCACTGGGAGTCATTTCAAACGGTTGTTCGTCAAGGCATTACTCTCCAATATGTTCTTAACATTATCTCTGAGAAAGGGAGAACACTAATGAAAACTGCGTAACAGACAATCCCACCCACACAGACAGGTCTGTGCCACATCGCCTCGACACTCATGGTGTTTTTCCATTAAAAACTGAATGATGGAAAGAGTAAAAAAGTGCAGTATGGCTGAAGAGTAATGGTGCTAATAACACGTTGGAACATGATGCTTTGTGAATACTCTTGACCCCTGTGTACTGTACGCTTTTGTTCCCATCTCATTTTTTATGTACTGTATATGTTTGAAGGCAGGGAAAATGATGAAAGTATTTTAAACTCAGATACGGGTATTCTCTGATTCAGCACACTCTCTCACTTTAGTTTGTGGTTTTTTTTTATTTTCAAAAATTTGATTTTTCTTTTTAAATGTTATAGCTACAAAAAATGTATATTTTTAAAAATTGTGAATGTTATATGATGTTGGCTAGAAATAAAGGGAAAAAAAGCTTTATAGATTTATTTACAAGTGTCACTTTATTCATGCCATTTGTTGTAAAGCATTATGAATTTAAATTACTTAGCAGTACTACTCTAAATATATGAGATCAATATTGGATACATGATAAAGATTTAATGTTACAGTATTTTGGAAGCACATTTTATTGGGTTAAACAATATGTTTGCAGAGCACTTGGTAACACTTTACAGTCAACAAAAGGTAGAAATAAAAAGCAAATTACTTTGATGCATTACAAACAGGTCAGTGTTGCAATGATATGTTTCTTAAACACATCTCCATCTCTGCTGACAACACTGTAATGCTCTGCGGGTGTCTTTACAAGGAAGAAACACACCTTCAGTAATCCACTTGTACACTGTCCAAGCCTACCCTGAAGCACGTAGCTTTCCTCATCCTCCTACATCTTCTCTCCCGCTGTGTTGGAGGTGATGGTCAGAGGCTTGTCTTCAGTTTCTGCCAAATTGAACCTCTGCAATAGCTCCACTGCAAACAAGGGAACCACCTGACCAACAGGACATTGTGATACACAATTAATATGCTTATGGGGACCTCTGCTGGTTGACATTACTATTGCTGCACGGCGAGCTTTCATGTTCCAAAGTCCTGATTTGACTTTGGAAGGCAAAAGACTTTTCAGCTTGACATAAAATTTAGTTAATATTTACCAGGTGGGGTATTTTAAAAACATACAAGGTGATGACAGCCAATCAGATGCACTGTCACATATCACTGAACTGTAAAAGGAACATAGATTGGATTGGACTGGTATTTATATAGAGTAGCACTTTTTTACTATGAGTCTCATTCATCCAGTGCTTTTATCTAACATTTATGCTCTGATGGATGCACTGGGGGTAACTTGGTGTTTGATACCTTGACCAAGGATGATTCAACACATGGACAGGAGGAGCCATTTGACCACCATTTTAACTCATAGCATAGAAGATTTATAGAATATGAATCTTAATTTGAAACTGAAAACCGTTTTTTAATTAAATCCCCTGTTTTTATGAGCAAATCAAATAAAAATTAAAAGGATATTTGATATTTTATTTACAACCAGATGCTAAACAGTGACAATGTGTAAGTAAATCTGTAAAGTTTTTCCACCCACCTGAGCCATGATCAGCTTCTTGGTTTTAGGTACATTGGGGTCTGGATATTCCTCTCCAAAGCAGAGCTCAATCTCATAAGAGGGTGTAGGCCCCCTCCCCTGTAGACAGTTCTGGAGACCTGCGCAGATGATAATTGGTATATTCAGATCGATGATAAAAACACAACACCTGTTTGCATGGAGTAAAGATTTGTCATGTATGCATGAGCTGCCTTACCATTGAGAAATGTGGGTATATCAAGCAGTTTGAAGGTTTTTTCTCGCTCCAGTTTGTTGGGTTTGTCGATGTGTTGGGCCATGGGGCCGTTCCAGTACACTCTGCCCTGGCAGAATCTCTTGATAAACACTCCATCTGGGGCCACCCATAATAGAACACCTCTTTCCAGGTGACAAAGAAGGCGATTCATTGCTTCAGCCATAGTGGGTGGCTGGCATACAGAGCCCGGGGAAGGGAAAGAAAGCTGTTGGGCAGTGCAGGGTCCGTAAATCTTCTCATTTCCCAAAGGAACATGTCCCTGCAGGATAAAACACCCATCTGGACTCCTGGTGGTCACTTTCGTCACTATCTGGCCCTGATACACCAACATCACCTGCATACGGAAGTCTTTAAGATAAGAATAAGAATCAGAATACTTTATTAATCCCAGAGGAAATTCTGTGGTCACAGTTGCTCCAAGAAAGCCAGAACAATAACTAGAGTAAACTAAATAATACAACAAATTACAGAGTTACGAAATATAACAAAATAGTTCTATTTTAAAAAATACACACAAAAGATAGTATGTGTTCCAGACCATATGCTGAAAAAGCCAACAACACGTTCACCTGTCTGTGCATAATCCTAAAAAATGCTCTTACCTGATATAGCAAGTGTAGGAAAGAAGGCTATAGGTGCAGGGGCCGGGTTTTGATGTTTTTCCACTAACTCACAGTACATGTGCTCCCTCATCAGGTTTTCTAAAGCAGAAAAAACACACATAAAACGACGTTGCTGCTTTTATTTTTAAGCTGAGTAAAATTCTGAGAAGTAAGGGTTGGCATATCAAACCATCTGATTGCAACAGACATTTTTCCCATGTCAACAAACAGTTTGACATAAGAGTGACTATCTTACCAATCCAGTTTGACCAAAAATAAAGAAAAAACAATTTGACAGCAATCTAACTAACAGTTGTTGATCAACTTCACTGACAAAAAGAAATATGAGACTCCTTCTGGCACTACAAAAAAAAAAACTGTTCAAAATGGAATTTAATTCTATCTAAAGAAGTTTAGAGAATGACTGATTTATGGAGCTTCGTCTTTTTTTTTGCAGCCAGCAGGAACCCCTTCAGCAAAAATATAACTGTGTTAACAGCATCAGTATCCCAATGTAAGCCAGCTTCTCACCCAAATCATATGTTTACCCAATCGGCATCTCACAAACCATTTGGGAACACAGAAAAGGGCCAATATGGGGCCCTGGACAACGTATCACTGCAGTCAACTCATATATAGGAAAATGAACAAGCACTCAAATAGCTCAAAGGTGACCAAATGCCATAACAATCTCATGCCCACGTGTGAAACCTAGCAAGGATAAATGCACACTTTTACAAAAAACGTTTGATCTTTGTGGTCATGATTATCCTTAATGGTTCTATAGTGATGTACCAGTTTGTGTATGTAAGTCTTACCTGTTAATATTTTTTCTTCTTTATCTCCTTGAAAGGATTCTTCTTTATTTGGGGGCTACAAAAAAAGAAACCGAGGTTAGATAAACATTGCATGAGGCTTATAAGTAACATTTTTAACATAACAGCAAAAGCTTCTTATTGGAGGTGCACACTGTTGTGTACCGTGGTGAACACATACACATTTAAAGGGGACTTTTTTTTTTACATTTTTATCTATTTATATTCATGGATGTTTCTTATATTTAGTTGACCAGCATATGCAGTAGTCATCAGGTTTCAGATTGCTCTAAATTCTTGGTTTCAGACAGTTTGACTGCTCTGTATTATGTCAGTGAAAGCAGATATTTCACTGACTTATCTCAAGCACACAGTTCTGGCTTTGAGCAAAGAACACCTACATGTGTTCTTCACACCTTCTGTTTATGAGGGACAACCAATCAGAAGAAAGTTCACATACAAGGAGATAAAACAGCTTGCAGAGATAAATTGAGTACCTGTACCAACACCCCGGATTAATTAAATGAGGATTATTTTAAACTCGTAATCATGCAAAGAATATAAATGGAAAGATCCAAAATAGTATAATCGATAACTCTTTAAACTCCGTTCAAAACTCGATTGCAATGAAGTGCCAACAAGAAATAATAGAAGTAATATTCCCATTTAAAAGCAAAGTGATTTTTTCTTCATTTCTTTAGGATTATTACAGTGTGTCCACTGCATAATCCACTATCAGATATTTTGTTAATCCAGGGATTATTGGCTGTATGGGTTAGTTTACCAATTTGTCCAGATAAGCGGGGGTCCTTGGAGACCTCTTGGCATGGTGCATCACTTGATCCTTTATTTGAATAGACTCTGAGAAGAGCAACAAGTAGATAAAGTTAGCACAAATAAAATACTCACATATACTGTACTATATAGTTAAAGCAATACCCTGTAAAGTAAAGATAATTTTTATTTTTAATAAAAGCTCAAAAACTGTAGATAGATCAAAGATATATATAAGAAACTCTTACACTCGGTTTTTACCTGCTGGCCTGGATTGGCTGTTATCATGTTGGATGCGATAGACCTTGTATGGCTCCGTGATATCTAGCTGGTTGCGTTCAGGGACTTCCTGGAAGTCTGTGCTTTTGTTAAGTGCACAGCGTAGACGAGTCTTCCACATGGTGGGATCAGCTCTGTCCCTGCCCTCCCTATATTTGCCCTTGTACACAGCCCAAGCCTGAATACAAAGATTAAAATATGAGACAATCTATGTTTAGAAGTGGTCGCATGAAAAAAAACTGTATGTAACTCTAAACTTCAACATATTTAAAGCATGTTTTGATGCACTTCATCATCTGCAAGTGTCTGATTAATCTTCTTTTCTATCATTAAATTATTAAAAGTGTGAATTCATCAAACCATCATTGAGGAAAAATTGAAATGAATTGCTTTAGAAAAAGATAAGAAGTAGGGATATTTTCAAATAGCAGTTTTAGAATTGTGGGTTTATTATTTCATAAATATGCTTAAAATACTTAAAACCTTCCTTTTTGACAAAGAATATAGTTAGGACTGGATCAGGGGACTCTGAATCCCCCCTTAGTTGCATTGCAATAAGTCTAGGCTACTGGGAGCTTCCCATGATGCACGATTTTTCTTTTTTACTCGCCTTTTTTACTCTCTATGTGTTAATACACCACTCTGCAATTAATCATGAGTTATTATTAACCTCTGGCATTCTTCCACAGCGCGTCTTTCCGATCTTCTTCCCCTGATCCCCAACCCATCGCAGCAGATAGCTATCGCTCCCTTAACCGGGGTAAGCTGGAGGTTTCTTCCTTTTGAAAGGAAGTTTTTCCTTTCCACTGTTGCCAGAGCTCTTGCTCATAGGAGGGCTTGGATTGTTGCGATTTTCTCTCTCTCTCTAACTTACAATATAAAGCACCTTGAGGCAACTGCTGTTGTGATTTGGTGCTATATAAATAAATTTGAGTTGACTTGCATTAATAAAGTGATAAACCAAACATCTATTGAAACAGATATAAAATAATTATTTATGTGCTATAAATACGTAAATAAAAATATATTGTTTACCACATACTTTCAGATGAATAAATCCAGTGAAGTCATCGCTATCTTATATAGTCTAGTTATTATAGCTTTGTATTAATATCGTTTTTTCTT